TCAGGACTGTACAGAAAGCTGCAAGCAGGGACTTTCTTTCCAGACCAGAAGATTCCAATAGGGGATATTGAAATGCTCATAGTGATCCTGGAACACCCAACGTACTCCTTACTACCACGTCTCATGAAGTCTTACACAGGAAACCTGGGCAGCAGCAAGGAGCGCTTCAACAATACGCTGAATGTGTGTTTGGCAGATTAAAATCTCACAGGCCCTGCCTTTATGGCAGGTTAAACCTAAAATATTCCCATGGTCATAGCAGCTTGCTGTGTGCTGCATAGTATTTGTGAGGTTAATGGGGAAAAATTTCCCCCGGAGTGGAGTGTGGAGGCAGATTGTTTGGTGGCTGATTTTGAGCAGCCAGGTATCAGGGCTATTAGAGGGGCACAATGGGGGCACTATTCGAATCAGGGAGGCTTTAAGGCACCATTTTAACAATGAGCACTAGTAATGTGACTTTCTATAAAGCACTCTGCCATGCTTTGTTAATTTCTCACCTTGCAAGAAAATGTTGATAATTGCTTCTTGACCATGATTTGTAGTCTGCAAATGTTACAATTGCCACTGTGTATTAATTCTAGCAGCAACCATTGTGTGCAGGAGACAAATAAAGATTGATTATCTTTCAGAGGGTGTGTTTTTATTAAATATCAATTAACAACACAGAAAACACTTGGTTGAAAGGGAGATAACAGTGAAGGGCAGTCTCCTGATGTAGACTCTCATAGCTGTTTGTAACTCCAGCTGTCATTTTGGAACCCATCTGAAGGGATGTAATGAATGGGGTACTGCGACAGGCTGGGAAGATGCAAGGAATGTGTGGGAGAGGTTTGGGGGCTGCAGGGAGGGACGAGCACACATGTATTAGGCCTGCAATGTGAATAGGGACTCCAACATCTCTGTATGCACCTCCATCTCTTTTGTCAACTGCTTCTGGCCCATTAAAATTTACTCCTGACTCTCCTTCTTCTCCTGCCTCTCTCTTTTATAATTTTCATTTACTGGTTCTTTCCATGCCCTGTATTCATGTTTTTCTGCGCCTGAGGATTGGAGCACCTCTTGAAATAAAGCAGGAATATTTTGTCAGCGGAAGAAGCATTTGTAATGTGTACTGTTTTGTCAACGAAAGCTGACTTTTGTCAACCAAACTCTGTTGTGTAGACAAGGCCTTTGTAATTCTTAAATTGTTTGTTTTTTTTCCCTATTTTAGCCTCAGATCCTACCCCATTTACACTGATGTGCACTATGTTAGGTGTCCGATGTCTGCTAAACTTTTGGGTGAAAACTGAAACAAAAAAGGCATTTAACACTTAGGCTATTGCTACATTTTTTGTTATTGTCTTTCCCTCCTCGCTGAGTAATGGGCCTACCCTGTCCTTGATCTTCCTTTTGCTTCTAATGTATTTGTAAAATGTTTTCTTGTTACTCTTTATGTCCCTAACTAGTTTAATCTCTTTTTTGTGCCTTGGCCTTTCTAATGTTGTCTCTACATGCTTGCGTTGTTCTTTTTATATTCATCCTTTGTAATTTGACCTAGTTCCACTTTTTGAGTTTCAGATCATTGAAGATCTCATGGTTAAGCCACAGTGGTGTCTTCTTGTATGTTTCTTATGCATTGGGATAGTTTGTTCTTGTGCCCCTTGGCAGTTGTTTTAAAAAAGGAACTACTAACTCTCCTGAACTTTTTCCCCCTTAGACTTTCTTCCCATGGGATCTTACCTACCAATTCTCCGAGTTTGCCAAAATCTGCCTTTTTTAAGTCCATTATCTTTATTCTTCTGTTTTCCCGCCTTCCATTTCTTAGAATCATGAACTCTATCTTTTCTTGATCACTTTCACCCAAGCTGCCTTCTGACTTCAAATTCTAAACCAGTTCCTCCCTGTTTGTCAGAATCAAATCTAGAGTAGCCTCGCCCCAGTCACTTTCTCTACATTCTGTAATAAAAAGTTGTCTCCAGTGCATTCCAAAGCTTGTTGAATAATCTGTGTCCTGCTGCATTATTTTCCCTACAGATGTCTGGGTAGATGAAGTCTCCAATCACCATCAAGTTCTGTGCTTTGGATGATTTTGTTAGTTTTTAAAAAAGCTTCATCCACCTCTTCTTCCTGGTTAGGTAGTCTATTATAGTTCCCCACTATGACATCACACTTGTTTTTTTTAACCCGTTTTATCCTTATCCAGAGACTTTCAACAGGTCTGCCTCCCACTCCTACCTCAGCCTCAGTGCAAGTGTATACACTTTTGATATACAACACCTCCTCCCTTTTTTCCCTGCTTGTCCTTCCTGAACACATTGAAACCTTGTTTTCCAATATTCCAGTCATGTGAATTATCCCACCAAGTCTTTGTGATGCCAGTTATGTCATAATTGTGATTATTCACTAGTATTTCTAGATTTTCCTGTTTATTCTCCATACTTCTTATGTTAGTATTCAGACATCTAGAAGGGAAATCTAATGAACATCTTATATTCCTTCTTGTCTGTCCTTTGTCCCTGCTATAATAAAAGCATACGTGTATTCTAGCCATTCTATGGGCCATGTGAAGAGGGTTGGTGGGTTCAATACAATTTCTAGTAGAGAGGTATCTATATCTCAAAATCATTATTGCAGTTGGCCCCCTTGCTGGGAAATTTCACTAGTGGCCAGGGACTGAATGGACCATGCAGACTGGAATGTGGAATTTCTCGCCACTAGAATGCTCTCTACAGAATAGGGTTGAGATACATTTATAGGACTGTGTAATCCAACTTGCATTTCTGTTGACTGAGCTATACTTATTTCCTCTAAATAAAGGAATCTCTTCTTGAAGGATGTCTTTTGGGTACTTTTCATGAACATTAAATGCATTTAATATTTTAAATTACCTGTTTTTTGAAGAATAAAAACATTAATTTCCAGTGAGGCTGCAAAGACTTACACATATGAATAGTCCCACTGGATATGGTTTTGTTGAACTACTCACAGATACACGTGCCTAATTTAAGATACTCTAAGTCTTTGCAGGATCAAGTCCTTAGTAAACACAGTCCTAACTTCTGTTAGTGATTATTTATTTCACCAGGTAGTTATATCAAAGCTACATTTTCATTTGTACAACTCCTGGTAGGAATAATAGGAGCTGTGTGTCTTGTTCAATCCCAAATGCATTTATTAGAGCCCAATTCAAGAAGGATGCTTAAGAACAAGTTTAATTCCCATTTTAAATCAATGGGATTTAAGCATATGCTTAAGTGTTTTCTGTAAAATTGATGGACATTTGCACATACTTAAGTACTTTCCTGAATTGAGGCCTACATGTATATTTTACTTACATTAAAGTTTATTTGAAGGCTGTTTTTTTTAAAAAACAGATTTCAAATGGATCTTGAGATAATAATTATGATACAATTCCGTGTTCAGAATTTCAGACACTATTAAACAACTATTAGTAGCCCTCTTCTATATTAATGTCTGTTTGAGAAGTTCTTGAAACTCTTTGAGCCCAGTCATTATTATTACTATTTATTATAATTAATCAGTCAAAACTCTCATTGAAATCAGAGTAGTTTGAAGAAGTGAATAGAAACTTTGCTTGAGAAAGTACTGCAAGATTATGTCCATAAATGTTTCTTTCCCAAGTCCAAATTCATCAATATTCAAAGACTATTGACATGAATAGCCCAACATTCATGAACAGGCTTACAATGCACACAATATTTTTACTGTGGGAAAATAATCAGATCCAAATTCTTCAATACTTATTCAGGGCCATATGCACCTCTTCACTTATGTTGATGTAGTGGAGAGAAACCTGCACAAAGTAAGTGAGATGCAAAAGAAGAGTCGCTCTTTAGCATTCTCTTTCTTTCCCCAAACCTATGGAAGCTATATTAGAGAACTACTATGATGTTGGGACTCATAGTGAACTCTCATGAGGTTGGTCAGGAGGGGGTCTGATCTGGTGGAGCTGATAGGTAATGCCACTCATTGTGGCATGCTCTCCTACCAGATTGGTGGAAACATTCCTTATAAATCTGTAGTCACTTTAATGCCACCCATTAGAAGACCCATAAACTCATGTTGCTGCTGAGGGTGATTGTCTTACAAAAGGGAGGAATCAGTGAATGAGGGAAAGTAGCCTCAAAGAACAGTGTGAAGGGGCAGTTGCTTGTGAGTGGATCCTTGGCAGATATGCAGTTTGGAGGTTACTCTCCATGTTTTCACCACGGCTTACTTCATAGAGTTTCTGGCACTCACGGTCTTCCTCTTGTAGATTTTACCGTGGAAGGATGCAATAATGAAATTTAGGTTTTGCCTATAAGGAGGGTTATCGTGTGGCAACCTGGGGTGTAAATGTACAGTGCCTGCTGTGAACTAAATTGTATGTGGATCTGTTGCTGTGCACTAAAACTCCCATAGTGCTCTTTGACTTACTGCTGTTTGACTCAGCAGTAAGTGAAAGTGCTCTACAGAACTTTCAGTATGTGGTAGCAGGGTCCACACGGTCAGTTAGTGCATGAAATGCTGAAGTGCTGTAGATTTACAACCCAGGTTCCTGAATATTAATTCTCTAACTAAACATACAGACATTACTCAAACAATGGGAGATTTGCCTGAGTTTGGATTACAGGATTTAGTCGTCTAAAAACAAACAGATTTTAGTTTCAAGTATCCAAAAGGTAATTATAAGTGAGAAAATTATTTAAAAATTATGCCATATAAGTTGACTTTTTAGTATTCTAAAATGTAGATATGAAATAGGACTGTATTGAAAAACACAAGGATGTGACAGAAATAGGGACAAATAAATTTAAACAGAAGAATAAATCTTATAACTCTTAATGAGTGTAACTGCTGGAATCAAAGTTTAATGTCATTATGCAGAGTTCTTCATAGGATATCATTGTGCCTTTTTTAAAACACGTTGGTATGTCTTCATATTGTATTTAAATTAGTAAAAATGCTTTATAATTTTGGGTTTAAAAAGTACTTATTGTTTTTGTTTCATTTTTATGTAGATTACAAAAGTGTGCAAATTCAACAAAAGATACCAAAGTGAGAGGTAAGTACAACAATATAGGCAGCGAGTTTTATATGAGCCCGTGGTGCCCATGCTCCACCAGTATTTAGGAACATGGGCCCGGCTCCATCAATGTTTGAGCTTACCGCACTTTGGGGGTCCCTGCGCTTCAGGGGAACGCAGGGTCCAGGGCGGCCTAGGGGGTTAGCGAACGACCCGGCCCCACCCCAACCCATCCCGCTCCGCTCCGCCCCACCGGCTCCTGGTATTGCTCGGGGGAGGGGGTGGAAGCTGGAAAGAGGCGGGGCAGGGGCTTGGGGGAAGGGGTGGAATGGGGACGGGGAGGGGGCAGAGCAGGGGCGGGCTGTGGCTGGGTCGCTTGCTGCTGCCAGTGCCAGACCCCCCACTAATTCCCCAGGCTACCGTGGACCCTGCATCCCCGTGAAGCGCGGAGACCCCCAAAGCACAGGGCCCAGGGCGGTTGCCCTGGTCCATCCTATGGATGAGATGGCTCTGTGTGGACCCGTTCTCGGAACCACCAAAAATTATACAAACCTGGCACCCATATACAGCAATGCTAATTTTTGCCAACATGAATTAATAATATTTGCTTGACGAAAGATAGTAAAGGCAATGGATATAATATTTCTTTTTCAGATCTTTTAATGTGTGGTGTGGCTTATCATCATGCTGGTATGGAACTATCTGATAGAAAAATAATTGAAGGAGCTTTTATCAGGGGAGACTTACCAGTGCTTTGTAAGTAAACTTAAACATTTGAAAGTCAAAATGTTACTATATTTTTCTTTTTAAATATAGTGAGGAGATTAGTATTTGGAAAAAGTAAACGTTATGATTCTTTCACTTATTTTTATGACATGAAATCCATGATGATAGAGAGTATGGTTCTGCAGCCTGTATACGAGTAGGTCAATTTGTTTCAATAAGTATTTAGGACATTTTACATGCTACTACAGTATAAATGATACTAATACTCAGATGAGGCTGCATGACTGGGCCTGTACTTTAGGGTTTGATCCTGCATTCCTAAGTCCCATTAACTTCAGTTTTTCTTTTCCCTTCAAAAATAAATTATGGTCAGAATATTACTTCTTCATTGAGGAAGAATAATACCAGTTGAAAATGGAAAGCCAACTCTTTAGTTCTAATCATATTATCCTATTCTTCTTAAAGAAAATGGATTGAACATGTGAAAAATATTATCTAAATATGACCAGATTCTTCAAGTAAATCAACACACTTGTGATTTACTCAGACGTGAAAGTAACTTAAAGGACTTACCGGTACACAGGGCAGCCAGGCTCCTGGGCAAGATGGGGGGCAGCTCTGGGCCCTGGAAGGGGTGGGGCCTCGAGCAGAAGGGGCAGGGCTTATTTTCACCTCTGGATTTACTAATATGTCTTTTGTGTTTGACGCTGTGTGATGGGTGGCCAGGCATAGTAGTCAGACCCTAAAGTCTGCAGTTACAAGACAGGAGTCAAGAATCAGTTGAGTTGGGACACTGGGAGATCAGAATCAGGAGACAAACTAGAGATCAGAACACGAGTCGGGAACTAGAGTCAGGTTGGGTCCGGATACCAGATGTAAGGATCCGTGGACTAGAACCTAGGTCTGCAGATCCTGGGATAGCTGACATTCCCACAGTACCACTGGGAAGGCTTGCAGAGCCACATGCCAGGGAGCATTGTGGAAAGTAGGCATCACAGAAAGTACCTCCCAAATGACCCAGAGTGAGAGTACCCTGCAGCTCTCTGATTGATGAAGTGCACTATTTAACCCAGGTAGGTGCCCCAGGAAGTTGTCTGGGCAACCAAACAGACTTCTAGCCTGCTGCAACTCCAGACTTCACCTCATCTTCTGATCTCCGGTCTCTGATTCTAGCCTGACCCTGACTCTTGCTTATTGAACCCAGCTGTAGCGATTCCTCTGATCCCTGTTCATTGACTTCTATCCTTGACATGTGGACCCCAGCCCAGCTGTGATTGCTAGGCAAGACTGCCTAAACTCTGGTCCCTTACACCAGGGAGTCAGGAGCAGGGGACAAAATGGAAGTCAGGAACCACCAGTCAGGTGCCAGGAGTTAAGCAGGTCAGACTGCCAGGAGATCAAGCTGGGGAAGCACGAGTAGATAGTGGGGATTGGGACAAAGCAAGGGGGTGGAGCCTCGTTGTTCAGATGGCTTCCTGTTGCTGGCTTCAGTAGGGACAGTGGGCCAAATAGCCACTTGGGGACTCCACAAATCAGACCTTAGGGGCAGAATCTCACCAATGGGGGTGGGCTTCATGGTTCTCAAGTAGGCTGTTGCCAGAATACTACCATGTGGAGGGTTGGAGCCTGGTTACTCCTATGCAGAGGTGGATTAAGCTTTTGTGGGGCCTAGGGCCCTGGGCCAGAGCAAGTGGTGGCCCCTCCCCACCCCTTCTGCCTGCAGTCGTCCCCCCCACGCACTTCTTCTGGGGAAATGGAGTTGGAGTGTGGGGGCTTGCCCCGCTCTGCCTGCCTGACATTCCTGGGGGGAGCAGGGTTGGGGTGTGGGGGCTTCCCCTGCTCCCCAGCAGGAGCACTGGGCAAGTGGAACGTGGCAAGTCCCTGCATCCCAACTCCATTCCCCAGCAGGAGCGTGGGGACCCCCATTTTTCCAGGGTCCCGTACAGGCCCAGTGGCTAATCTGCCACTGCTCTAATGAACCTTGTGGGCCTGGAGTTTGAGACTGGTGGGTCATGAAAAATACATTATTATGAGAATTATTTTAGTTACTATAGATGTGCATGTCACTTTACAAGCAAATTAAAAGACCCAAAAACTGTCCTCAAGTATACAGTCACTACAAAACAGGATGAAGTAATGGCTATATTCAAACAGTTCCTGAACTATTTGTATTGAATGATTAGCAATTACTTCAATGTGATTTTGGTACACGAGGAATGAAAGATTGGACCCTGATTTACCTGTAAATGTTAATAAATATTTAAATACACATATGTTGGCTATATTTAGTTTTTAAGGAGGCATTTGACAACACAGAAATCATGATCAGATACACTGAAATACTGCATATGAATGTATATACAGATTATGGGCCCTATGAGCTCTTCAGTGCCCTTTCCTACCATTGATTTCATTAGAGTTGAGAGTGCTTAGCACCTCACAGGATTGGACCATATATTTGCTGCTTTATTTAAAATCTTGCTAGTACACCGAATACTGTTTATTATTAAATTAATATGCTTTAATCTGATTCAGTTACTACTAGTACCTTAGCTATGGGAGTAAATTTACCCGCACACCTGGTAGTTATAAAATCTACAATGCACTATGTTGGAGGAATGTTTCAAGAATACAGTGAAACAGATATTCTGCAAATGATTGGGAGAGCAGGGCGGCCTCAAGTAAGTTAACTGTGTATTTTATATTAATGCTTTCTAAATCTGGCTTAGTAAAAGCTACAGTATACACTTGACAAATAAATAAAAAATACCCACAACTTAAGGGATAGCATTTGCTTTTTAAAGATTTATTTGTAAGTGAATTATTGAGTTAAAATAATACTGAACAAAGAGAACTGTGCGACACTGTAGACAGATCAATGGAGATCTCCATTGATCTGTGTGCAACTGTAGTCCAAAAAGCAAGATGTTAGATTGCATAAGGAATGGAAAGTTGAATAATATGGCAAATATTATAATACCTTTTATATAAATTGTGCAGCTTCATTTGGAATAGTGTGTGTAGTACTGAGAAGGACATCACAGAGCTCTTGCATATTATTTAAATAGAACTAAAAGTTTTTGAAAATTATCTAGATCATTTGTGTTTTATGCTAAAAATCACACGGGTCATATTGTGTCTCCCTAAACCACTGGTTTTCAACCTGTGGTCTGCAGACCCCCAATTTCCAAAGGGGTCCACACCTCCATTAGAAACTTTTAAGAGGTCTGCAAATTTAAAAAGATTGAAATCCACTGCCATAAACTGTTTCTAAATGGATTAAATAATGTATTGTTGAATGTTACACATTAGCAGAAATTCCTGTACCTATGATGGTATGATCTCATTCTACTAGAGCTGTGGCAGCCTCTTTTGCTTGCCTTAAGCAAGTCCCTGTTACTGAAATTTCCAGGGCTGCAACGTGGAGTTTTTCATCAAGTGCTTGCTCATGTCCATTCCATTAGGTAGGTGTCTGCTTGCCCCGAGCACTGCCACTGGAAAATTTTCCCTCAGTGGTATCCATCAGCTCTGCTGCCCCCTGGAGTCGCATGCTCCTAGGACCAGTATAAAGGGTCCTGCCAGGAGTCGCAGCCCTCTCAGTTCCTTCTTACTGCCTGTGACCGTCGCTGGAACTACCTTATCCTTGCAATCTGCAAGTACACCTTTAGTGGACTTTTTCAACCCTATATTGTATATAGTTATCTCTTTTTGTTAGTAGTTAAATTTCTGTTATTAGATAGATTAGTGGAGTTAGTCTCTGCCTGGTGCTGGGGCATGCCTTGGTCTCCAGGTTTTAAGTCTTGTGCCTCGTGCCACAAGCCTATGCCTGTGAGTGACACCCATTCCAGTTGCCTTAAGTGACTGGGGGAAGCTCACATATAAGAACGTTGTAAGATCTGTAAAGACTTCAGGCCCTGCACCAAAAAGGATACAGACTCCAGACTGAGATTTATCCTAATGGAGGCAGCGCTAAGGCCTCCATCAGCACCGGACCACTCAGACTTGGCACCAAGCACTTCAGTCTCAATAAGGAGTGCTCCAGCTACTCTTTGAGATCCTCAGCGCTGTTCTTCATCACTGGCACTGAGAAAAGATGCTCCTTCTACCTTTCGAGAGCCTTGGCACCATCCACCGTCTCCGGTGCCAAAGAAAAATGCTCCAGTGAGAGAACCTCGGCACCACGCTCCGTCACTGGTACCGAGGAAGAAATAGAAGACTGATAGTGGTTTATCCCCATCCCCGAGGTCAGCGGGCCAGGGAAACACTAGTAGAGCTCTACCTGCGTTGGGACACTCCACAGCTTCAGCAACCTGTGCAGTGCCGTTGACTCCAGCCCCAGAGTGGGTACTGTTGAGTCCTGTACCAATGAACCTACCACTGCAGGAGAGCCACTGGAGATACTTTGTTGGCAGTACTGTCAACGCCAGACACATTTGCCGCAGTGAGAGACCTACTCACACTGCCAGTACCAGCGTCTCCAGCTATGCAGGAGCTGACAGCAGTGGCCCTGATGGGAAACAACTTCAGCGGCATTGAGGCCCCAGGTGTCTTCAAAAGAGAAACAGTCCCTCTCAGCACTGCTCGCTGGCACTGATTAGCACCGCTCCTCCCTTGTCTTCAGGAGGGGAGTCTTCGGAGACAGAGTCGAAGGCTGAGTCATATGCCTCTCGCAGGAACTGACTCCGTCACTCCAATTAGCACTATCCTGCCATGGACCCAAGCCAAGGCATCCCATCCACAGTGTGGCCCCCGGGGCAGTGGCAGATGCAGTACAGTGGCCATTCTGGGACCCCTGAGCTTTCCAGACAATGCAGAGGACTCGTTGCAGAAGGTCATACTCCATGGTGTCTGAGTCCAGAGCACTTCCACTGCTCCACTCAGAGCAGGACCCAGGCTTCAGTACTGAGGCCAGTGCCAAATAGCAAGAGCCAGCACCTTGAGACCTGTCTGGTGCTGAGTGTGAAGAACAGTGCCCCCTACCAGTACAGGCTTCCTCCTCTTCTCCTCATGAGACTGGAGTGGGAGCAGATGTAGCACCCTCCCAGGATGATTACAAGGCTCATCAGAAGCTCCTTAAGAGAGGGGCTCAAGAACTGGAGATCCAAGTAGAAGAGATCAGGGAGTCCTCCCATGCTCTAGTGGACATTCTAATAGTCACAGCCCATCAAGAGTGGCATTGCCCCTTAACAAGGCCATTATGGACCCCATCAAGGCATTATGGCAGGCCCCAGCATCTCTTCAGCCAACAGCAAAGAAAACTGAAAACAAATACTTTATCCCAGCTAAGGGTTGTGAGTTTCTTTTACACATATCCACCACGGGGCTTTTTGGTGGTGTCAACAGCCAATGAGTGGGAAAAACGGGCTACAGGGGCCAACCCCCAATTAGACCTTTTTGGCAGAGAGAGCTGTTCAACAGGGGGCCTCCAGCTCAGGATCATGAATCAGCAGGCATTCCTGGGCAAGTACGATTTTAATTTCTGGGATTCCATGCTGAAATTTAAGGAGTTATTACCCCAGGAGTCCAGACAAGAATTTGCAGCTCCTGTGGAGAAAGGCAAATTGGTGAAAAGGCATCCTTGCAAGCAGCCTTGGATAATGCAGACTCTGCAGTCCAATCTATGGCCTCAGCGGTGGCAATGCACAGAAGCTCATGGTTTCAATCCTCGGGCATGCTGCATGTGGTCCAACAGACATTGCAGGACCTTCCTTTTGTGGGCACATCACCCTTTTCTGAGCAGACAGACTCCAAGCTGCACAGCCTAAAGGACTCAAGAGCCACTATACAAGGGTTTGCCGGGCTCAACCCCCTCCGGAGCGGTGGGGAGCCACACCGGCTCCCTACACACAGTTAAGGTTCGGGGGAATTAGTCTGGCTGCGGGGTCTTCCTTGGCAGCCCTTGCAGAACTAGAACAAATACCGTAAGCCCAGGCCCTGGGTCAGGGCAGGGCAACAAGGAGTCTGATGCTCAGGCCCTCAGGCAGGACTGAGCAACCACAATACAATAGAAATAGGTCCATCTCCTGGGTTAGGGCGGGGCAACAGCGAGTCAGGGGCTCAGGCCCTTAGGCAGGGCTGAGCAACAACAGTACAATTAGTAGCAAGCCCAGGCCCTAGGGCAGGGCAGGGCAGTACAGAGTCAGGAGCTCAGGCCCTCAGGCAGGGCTGAGCAACAACAGTAGGCCCAAGCCTCCACAGGCCTGGGAGACTGCCACCCACAAGTTGGGTGGCAGGGGGGACGCAGGCCCTCCCACTCCACTGCGTCCCAGCTCGGGGCCCTAGCAGAGGCAGACGACCCGCTGCTGTGTCAGTGGGGATCCTGGCCGCAACACACTGACATGGGCTCTGGTAGTGCTGTAGCCAGACTAGGGTCGACTGCCCCCGGGCTACTTTCAGACTGCCCCTTGGGTAGCACATGGTCAGGGTGTTGTCCTCTGGGGGGTCCAGCACTATGGGTTCTTCCGGGTAGCGAGCGCAGGGCAGGTCCGGCAACTCCTCCGGGTAGCGAGCGCAGGGCAGGTGTGCCTTGGGCCGCGGGGTTTTCCCAGTCACGGGCTAGGCTGGAGGCGTCTGGCCTCTCCAGCAGCTGGGTCCTTACTGAGCTCTGAGGGTGAGCCTTTATACTTCCGGGTCACCACCTGACCCTCAGAGGGGCGGGCTCAGAGCTCCCTAGCTCGGCCCACTCCGGCCTCCGGATGGGCTCGTCCCTCTCCAGGATGGCGGGGAGCCACACCGACTCACTACAGCTACTCTGAAGTTTCTAGGACTTTATACACTGGCACCCACAAGGAAACATTATAAGCCTTAACTGGCTGCTCGATTCTTCCCACCACTTGCCCGGCAAGACTACCAAAGGGAAAGGAGCAGGAGCTTTAGGAGAAGACCTCTGCCCCCATCCTCATCCACATCTACGCCTTGCCCCGCCTCTCCTTCCCCCTCCCCCCCGACACTCTGGTAGGTCCGAGCAGGCCTTTTGATGGGACGCTTGAGGACGACATACCAGGATAGAATTTGGATCCAGCCTCTCCAGTTTTTGTGGACTGTTTATCCCATTTCAGTCAGTCGTGGGCCTGCATTACAACAGACGACTGGCTGCTAAGCATAATAGCAGTGGGATACACTCTTTAGTTCAGTTGTTCCCACCCTCCCCATCCCTTTTCAGGGACCTTTCACATGAGATACTTCTAGCCCAAGAGGTGCAGTCACTCCTAAGGGTGGGAGCCATGGAAGAGGTTCCACCAGAGTTAGAGGGCTGATGAATTCTACTCCTGATATTTCCTTATCCCGAAAGCCAACGGCAGGCTCAAACCAATTCTGGACCTGCAAAAGCTCAGCAGATACATGAAGAAGCCAAAGTTCTTCTTCGAGTGCTTGCTCATATCCATTCCATTAGGTGTGTGCGC